CACTGCCAAATTTCTCCTGGGGGAGAAAAATCACCCTTATTTGAGAACCACTGCTGTAACTCAGTTACTTTATACTCTGGGCCCAGGACTCACTGCTATTGCCGAAACAGGGAAAAGGATTCATATCCACACTGAGTGCAAACAAATGAACCTAAGCTGACTTCCAGAAATGGCCAGGTATACATTTGTCATTCCTTTGTGTTCACCAGAGATAACCCGGGTTGGTCCTGGATGGTCCCAAGGCATCGCAACCTACGGTGTCTCCTGACGGTTTCCTTCAAGTGATACCGACACTTGGGCACAACAGGGAGTCAGTCATTTGTTGAGTAAACTCCTGGGAAAGGGCTCCTTTCTTTCCAGCCTGTCCTTTACTTCTCTCTACCTGAGTGCCCAAGGGCTCTGTGGTTCAAGTGAAAATTTTTTAACATAAAAATAGACGCAGAACATTAGTCTGCAAAATTTACTAAATCCAACTGAACAAATATGACTTTTTGGAGCTGGTTACTACATTTTGACCAAATGAATAACTGAAGTATTTTTCCTGTTTAATAGTTTTTTTTTCTTTTCCAGTGGGTTGGTAGAATCTTCCTTTTTGAGATTTCAAGGCATATTTCATATTTTGTTATTTAGCATCTCTGTTTTTAAGAGTTTCTTCATATAAAATAGGGGAATTGATCTGGATTATATGCCACTGACTGATGAAAGCACTTGGCGGTTGGTCACTGGGGCTCTTGTAACCTCAGCTCACAGTTACAGCTGACCTATTAACTTAGGACTTTTTACTTTAAATCTGGGGCTCTTTCTACTGTATCACACTGTACTCAGTGGAAGGATTTTGTCAGCCAGAGTAGCTAGACTATCCTGTAAAGAATTCTGAGAAAAATTACACAACTAAGCCATAGACAATGACTTTCCTGAATACAAAGTTTTAATACCATGGTTAATTTAAAATACATTAAATGGAATACTACTCAGGCATTTGCAGGAACATAGATGGACCTAGAGATCATCAATCTAAGTAAAGTAAGCCAGAAAAAAAAATACCGTATGATATCACTTTTATGTGGAATCTAAAAAAAAAAAAGGACACTATGAGCTCATCTACAAAACAGAAACATACTCGCAGACATAGTAAACAATCTTATGATTACCAGAGAAAGGGGGTGGGAAGGAATAAATTTGAGAGTCTGAGATTTATAAGTGTTAGCCACTGTATATAAAAATAGATTTTAAAAAGTTTATTCTGTAGCACAGGGAACTATGTTCAGTATCTTGTAATAACCTTTAATGAAAAAGAATATGAAAACAAAAATATGTATATGCATGACTGGGACATTGTGCTGTACACCAGAAATTGACACATTGTAACCGTTATACTTCAATAAAAAATAAAAATAAAAAATAGACATTATATTGTCTCAAAAGTGACTCCAAGGGGAGGGGAGGGTATAGCTCAGTGGTAGAGTTCATGCTTAGCATGCATGAGGTCCTAGGTTCAATCCCTGGTACCTCCATTAGATAAACAAACAAACCTAATTACCCCTCCAAAAAACAAACAAAAGTGACTCCAATATCCTTTGAAATGTGTCCTATTAAAGAAAAACAATAAGCAATCTATAACCAGTTTTGAGGTAGTAAAATTCATTCATTAATATCAAATTTAATATTAATAATCTGAATTTAATAAATGCATTACAATATAAATATATTGAATAGTACTAAAACTTCCTGAGATGGTAAGTCTTGCTGGCTTTTCATGAAATCCTTACTTTGTATTAAAAAGTGATCGATCTTTTGGTCAATTAATCTGTGACAAAGGAGGCAAGAAGAGACAATGGAATACAGACAGTCTCGAAGGCAAATGGTGTTGGGAAAACTGGACAGCTGCATGTAAATTAATGAAGTTAGAATACTCCTTCACACCATACACAAAAATAAACTCAAAATGGCTTAAAGACTTAAACGTAAGACAAGACGCTCACTACAAGCCTTTTAGAAGAAAACACAGGCAAAACATCTGACATAAATCTCAGCAATGTTCTCCTAGGGCAGTCTACCCAGGCAATAGAAATAAAAGCAAAATAAACAAAAGGGACCTCATTAAACTTATAAGCCTTTGCATAGCAAAAGAAACCACAAGCAAAATGATAAACTACGGAATGGGAGCAAATATTTGCAAAAGATGAGACTGACAAGGGTTTAATTTCCAGAATATATAAACAGCTCATAGAACTTAATAATTTAAAAAAACCAAAAAACCAAGCCAAAAGTGGGCAGAAGACCTAAACAAGCAACTCTCCAATGAAGACATACAAAAATGGCCAATAGCAGATGAAAAAATGCTTAATATCCCTAATTATCCGAGAAATGCAAATCAAAACCACAGCGAGGTATCACCTCACACCAGTCAGAATGGCCATCATTCAAAAGTCCATACAGTACTGTATGTCAATTATATCTCAAATAAGAAAAAAAGCCTCAAAGTAAGTCTTAGCCAGGCCAGAAAATCATTCTGACCCTTTCCCCATTACAGTGTTACTTGTATGATGTACTCAATGCTTCAGCTGAAGTAAAATAATTCAACTCACTAACTCTCAGTTCATGACTTTGGGCTTTGATAATTATCTATGCCCTCTAAGCCAATAATTCTGGGAACCTATCCAAGATAACCAGAAATGAAAACAATTCTTTATAAACAAACATGCGTTATTTTAAACTTTTTATTAAAACATAATTACAGTTATCACTTTAAAGTCTAAAAATTGAATATAAATGTTCAATCACAGTAAACAATTAGATTACGGCAAATTTATGATAGAATACTAACCACTAAAAATGATGATTACCTTTCAACAAAATAAAACACTCATAATCACACAAGAGGATAACATCAGGATACAAAACTGTGTGTGTGTAGAACTTCATTTTTTAAAAATAGTTATAGACTAGAAACAAAACTTCAAGATTTAATCCAAAATGTCAATACTAATTATCTCTAGCTTTTAAGATTATAGATTACTTATTTTCTTATTTATAATTTTCCATGCTTTCCAAATTTTCTATAAAACATATATTACTTTACAATTGGGGAGAAATTCGGCCTAGTCTGCTGATACAGGCTGGACAGAAGCAACAGTTTGTTCCAAGGATAAAGGGATTTAAGTTTCAAATTGATATTCATAAATTAATTCTTATGAATACTTACTGAAGGCTTGAAATTTAAAACAAAGGTCAAGACCACTAAACTCTTAAACAGTGATGAATGTAACATAGCATCTACATCTTGGATCAAATTATTAGAGTTCCTGTAAGGAAGCATTTCTATTAAGCTCATTAGGTGGGCAGTCGGTCAATTCCTATAAATTCTTTATATGGGGATTTGAAGACACGTAGAACATCTCCATCAAAGCTGACTGATTCCGCAAGGCAAGCAGGATCTACCTGGGACATGAGGACAATAAGTAACTCATCTCCAGCCATGAAGGAAGCTCTCGCGGGGCCAAAATTGTCTACTTTATGGTAAAAGAAATAACGGAAGGGTCTGCTAAATACAACACGTTTTCAAAGATTGAGAAAAAAAATAACTTAGAAAAGTAGTTACAGGGAAGTAGCTAAAATGGAAAGGTGGGATACTTGAAATTATTGCAAACTATTAAATATTTCCTTCAAGGATTAGTTAGTGGTGGTTACTATACAACCAGAATTTTCAAGGATTTCAAATATTCTATCCTTTCGACCCCGTAAGCACACTCAAACTCACAAACCAGGCGCCTCTATTTTTAGTTATGAAAATAGGGATGTTGTATCTCCGCCAGAGGTTACAAGTTATAAATCACCACAATCACAACGTCCAGAGGGCAAATGAAAGCAGAGGTTCAAGTAACTACATTATGCCCAAGTATGCGTAACCAAACCGCAATTCCTAGCACACCTCGCAGGTGTTCCCAACATTGGAGACGCGGGAAGAACCTTCGCCTTATTAACCTCGCAGGTGTTCCCAATATCGGAGACGCGGGAAGAACCTTCATTTCATTAACCTATCTCGCCGGTGGGATACAGGACTCAATCTCTGTTAACCTACAGGGAACCCACAAACCAAGTCTGCCTCTTCTTCTGGAGGCCCGGACCACAGCCATGCAGGCACCTGGAAATTGCTAACAGGAAAAACGCTTTTTAAAAATGAAACAAAACAAACCAAAAGCCAAAAAGACAGACAAACTGGGCTTCTCAAGAGCTTTTCCAACCTGCTGTGAGGAATTGCTGAGCGCAGAGGTAGACTATCAGGACATTTGAAGGCCTAGTTTTACCAACTAAAAGACCTGGAACACAGCAAGTTAACTCAGAGGCCCGGGGCTGCAATAAACGCCCAGACAGGCCCTGCCCTAGAGGAGCCCTCAGTTGGGCTTCCGAACCGGGCGCGGGGAAAGCAGCCCGTGTCCCACCGCAGGGAGAGGCCTCAGCCTGGGTCCCTTTCGACCGCAGACTGCCCACCGGGTGTGTCGAGTAGGGGCTGGGAGTCGGGTCGGGGGCGGGGGGGGGGCAGGCGCGTTACCTGCAGCAGGTGCAGCTGGGCCACAAGGCGCCGCGGCAAGTGGAGGAAGCAGTCGCGAGCGTTGGTGAAGGCCAAGGTAACGGCAACCCCACCGCCACCCGCACCCGCCAGACGACCGCCGTCCCACATCACCTGCAAGCACAGAAACCCCCAGGCCGCACACCCAAGCGGACCCGGCCCAACTGCGCAGGCCGAGGGCGTCGGAGCAGAAAAAGCTCAATCGGCCCCGCCCCCTCCGGTCCCGCCCCCTCGCCCTGCGGCGCGTCTCGCCTTGCGCCTGTAGCGGGAGCCTGCTCCGGCTCTCCCGGCCTCTCCGCCGCGCCGCTAGGGGGAGCACGTCGTTAACCGAATCCTCGCTCGCAGGAAACGATGACCGACGATGTCGATTCTCCAGCCAATCTCGGCACGCCTTGACCCATCCCTCTCTCTTATTGGATAAGCAGGAGGGCAGGAAGGCGGATGTTGTCGTCTCTGCGACGGCCAAAGCCGGCAAGATGGCATCTCCTGGTGGGGAGCTTGGGGGCTTGTTTGACCACCACGTCCAGAGGTCTGTGTGCGACTCGCGGGCCAAGTATCGGGAGGGGAGACGGCCTCGTGCGGTCAAGGTAACGTGATTTTGGTTTCATTCGCTATCCTCCGTAGCTTTATGTGAGCTCTAGCCTCACAGGCTCAGCTTACGTAAAGGAAGTCTTGAAAGGCTGAGGTCGCATCCATTCCCAGGAGATGAGTATGCGGAACGCTGGTACTCTGGTACCAGAGATTCTCGAACCTGCTAGAACATCAGCTCCTGGAGAACGGGACTGTGTTTTAGTCATTGTTACCTTACGCGTTTACTATAGTCCTTGTTACATGGTAAGCGCTCAGTGAATATTTGCTAATTCTTTACTGTAAATTATTCTTTATGCAGAGAGAGGGGCAAAAATGTTTTAATAGCAAATTTGTCCTAGACTTATCTGTGAAAAACATTTAATATGTCTGCATTTCTTTTAGGTGTATACAATCAATTTGGAATCTCAGTACTTATTAATACAAGGAGTTCCTGCAGTGGGAGCAATGAAGGAATTAGTTGAGCGGTTTGCTCTATATGGTGCAATTGAACAATATAATGCTCTAGATGAATACCCAGCAGAAGACTTTACAGAAGTTTATCTTATTAAATTTCAGCATCTACAAAGTGCAAGGTAACATGCACATTAAGCAGTATCTCATTTCCTCCATTCCCACTGCTATCATTTTGGCCCCCCTCATTCATTCCTGAATTACCCAGTAAACTAACGTGACCCTATTTTACTATCTTCCTGCAGTCTTCTTGAATGTTAGCTTTACCAAAAAACTCTTTCCCATCATGTCATTCCCATGCGTAACAATTTCTGTCGTTTAGTGTGGTAGATTATATATCATGTGCTCTTATATATCATCTCACTGCCCTAACCACCTTTCCAGCTCCTCATAGTTAGGGAAGTATATTTTCTTACTGTGCATTTTAAGGAGTTCTTGCATCTCCCACACCACCTAGTAGGCCATGCAGTTCAACATCTGGATTTGAATTTAGTTTCATAAACCAATGCGAGCATGGCCAAAGTATAAACCTCCCCAGGCCTCAATTTCATCATAGGGTTGTTGTAAAGTGTTAATTTGAGTGAAGCATTAAGCATTTAGGACAGTGCCTGGTATGTGGTAAAATCTCTAACTATTCATCATTTTTCCTGGGCACAGAAGTACTTATTTATTGTGGTAATTCCTGGCCAGTCATAGATGTTCAATAAGTATTTGTTGAATGGATACCGTCCTCTCATTTTCTCATTGTTATATATTCAGTATTATTTATGAACCCCACTGTACGAATACATTGTGCTGAAAAGGCTAAATTGCGTATGAGCTAACTCTCAAGAACCTTTTAACCTAAAACAAAGAAAAATCTTTTTCATGACTACATATTTTGTAACCTCAAGCTAACCAGCTAGATCCTATGTTGGTTAAAGGGAGTCTAGATATGCATGGATGACAGCTCAAAACCTGTTAACACTCGGGAGAGGGGAGGAAAGGCTCTAAGAGTACGCAGTGGATCAGTAGGGTCAGTACCATCCACAAGCAGAGCATCTTAATTCCCAAACTATAGGATGTTTATACACACAGTAAAAGCAGGGCTATGCTCTTTAGGTCAATGCATTGTATACTAGTTAAGGTTTCATCCTAAAGTAAATATAGATTAGTAAACCATGATATCATGTATTTCTGTTTAGGATAGCCAAGAGGAAAATGGATGAACAGAGTTTCTTTGGTGGATTGCTTCACGTGTGCTATGCTCCAGAATTTGAGACAGTTGAAGAAACCAGAAGAAAATTACAAGAGAGGAGTGCTTATGTAGCCAGAACTACTAAAAATAAAGGTATGGAAAGCCTATTACTAAACACCTCCTATGTGCCAAGCATTTTGCCAGGTATGTCATCCTGGGGTTCCCAGTCTAGTGGAAAGACAGACAAGTAAAAGACCACAATTTTCAATAACTGTAAACTTCAGGGTCCTTTACAGTATGCTATGTAACCTGGGCTGGGAAGGGAGAGATTTTGTTTCATGGAAGACTTCCTGCACGATGAGAGAGGTATCTGAGTTCTAAAGGGTAGTTAGACATTACCCAGAAGGGGAGAGGAAGAGATGGAAAGGTGGGCCAGGTAGCATGCTTAAAGTCCCAGAGGAATAAATGAGCATCATCAGTTTTAAGAAACTGTGAGTAGTACCTGATAACCACAACACAGGGGCTTCAGTGAGAGATAAGATTAGAATAGAGGACAGGAAGTGAATCCTGAAAAGCCTGTGTCCATACTAAGGAATAAAGGTTTTGACCAAAAGTCAGTGAGAAACAATTAGGATTTGCAGACCAGTTCCAACTGCTAATCTAAAACTGCTAAAAGTGGAAAAGTTCTACTTTTGATAAGTACCAGTGGCCAGATGCCCCATATGCCCAACCAAGTTTGCCTAGACACAAATTCCAAGTGCACGGAATGAAGTCATAGATCTGGTACGTGAATTATAGAATTACAGCAGCCAGAATTGGACTAAGACAATGTGTGTGGTCTGAAATCTGAATGGTTTTAGAGGCTCAAATGACCAAATTTCCACCCTTTGGTTGAAAGACAAAGGCAGTGTCCAAACAGCTATTAAATATAATGAGTTTATGGCTGATTGGGGAAGGGGCATGTGGCAGTGTGAAGAGAGAAACAAGGTGGAAGACTTCTGGAAAACTTACCTGAAATTTTGGCAAGAGAGCTGTTGAGAGTCTCTGGTCATTTGTAGACATTGAACTTTAGCCTGTGGTGTATATTAATAACTAGTTCCAGGAGAACTTGCATGTGTGGTAAAGGAAATTATAAAATATGGACCCAGCATATTGACTCCTATAAAAACTAAAAACACAAACTGAGCAGAACGATCATTCATATAGTAAAATACTTTGAAGCTGTAAAAAGTTTTCTATCTAATGACATGGAAAAACTCTCCCAAGATTTACAATTAACTGGAAAACGGAAAAGTGCAGAGAAATGGGTATTACAGGAGAAAAAGAGGGGTAAGTGGGAGGAGGAAAAGTAAGACATACTGGGACAGATGAAGTAAGACAAGTGCTTACTTATGGCAAGTGGAAACCAGGCATATGAGGAGCGAGGAGAGAGTGAAGCTTGATACTTACATACCTTATATCCTTTTTAGCTTTAAAATAATGTAAATGTATTCCCTGCTCAAGAATAAATTCTTTAGGATAGCATTCATTATCATTTTAAAGTAATATTTTTAAAATTACACATTTCTGAATGATGAAAACAGTAAATGAACCATTTCTGTTTCCCTTTCCCTCACCTTTTAAATTATAATATAAAGATCATTATGTGACAAAGAAGAAACTGGTTACAGAGAATCAAGATGCAAAACATTTTAGACAGGACTTCCATTCAAAGAGATCTGGATTTTGTGCAGCCACTTTGAACGTATCTCCTGGGAACGCAGATCCTTGTCTTCCTTATTCTTGTGAATTGCCTTTGTGTTATTTCTCCCCAAAATGTACATGTTCGTCAGGAAAGCATGTGGGCGGAGCATCAAACTCCTCTCAGGATGGTAGAAACTGTGATGAAACACTGGAGCATTGGAACCACAATGACTCTCTGCAGAAAATGCAGATGAAAACTTTAAAAAATTCATTACCCTGTCCTGGTGCACAGAATCGTATTACGCCTTCAGAAGCAGTTGACAGATTTATGCCTAGGACAACACAACTGCAGGAGCGGAAAAGAAGAAGACAAGATGATTGTAAACTTGGAACTTTTCTTGAAGCAAGCACTAGTAGTAATGAGGTTATGATTGGGCCTCTGTTACCAGACATACCCAAGGTGGACATGCACGATGACTCGTTGAATACAACAGCGAATTTAATTCGGAATAAACTTAAAGAGGTAAGATTAAAAAAAAAAGCTGTTTTGGACCTAGAGATTATCATACTAAATGAATAAGTTAAGTAAGTCAGACAGAAAAAGACAAATATCACAATATCATTTATATGTGTAATCTTAAAAAATGGTACAAATTAACTTACTTACAAAGAGACTCACAGACACAGAAAACAAACTTATGGTTACCAAAGGGAAAGGCGGGGGAAAGGATAAATGAGAAGTTTGGGATGAGCAGATACAAACTACTATATATAAAATAGATAAACAGTGAGATCCTACTGTATAGCACAGGGAACTACATTCAATATCTTGTAATAACTTAAAATGAAAAAGAATACATATATGTATAACTGAATTACTATGCTGTGCACCAGAAATTAACACAACATTGTAAATCAAATATACTTCAATAAAAAAAAAACTTTTTAAGGGACAAATTGGCTGTAGGACTAATAACTAAGTGGAGAGTTACTTGTGGGAACTATAGTATTGTCATTCTTTTTTTTTTCATTTTTAATTTTTAGGTGTGCTTTCTTACAATTCTCTGTTGCACTAACTGAATTTGATTCACAGATTTGTATTTGCTTTGATACCATTAATCCTTGCTTTAAACATATTTTATACCACTGTAGATAAAAAATATAAAAGCAGTGGTTTCAGTCAGTCAGATCAATTTGTGAGAATAGAGCCCAGTCTCTCCCTTTTTTTTGAAGCTCTCCAGATAGTTCTGATGTGAGCCAAAGTAGAGAACTACTTACTGCATTAAAGGAAAATAAGTACAATTTATTTCTTTTAATTCAAAATTACAAATTACATAAAATTCAAAATGCTTATTTTGCTTCTTTTATAAAGATAGCTGTAGAGGAAGGTGAGATTTCTAAAAGTTAGGCCTTAAGGCCTGCATTTTAAACTTCTTAAATAAATTAGAACTAGATTGTCCTACGTAGGTAGTAATTTTTAAATGTAATTTACATAATCATTTTCCATTTTCTAAACACAAAGAAGAGAAAGTTAAATTTGAGTTAGCTTTTGAAAGATTCCTTTTTGTGAGGCAAGATTTTTAGAAATAATAAACTGAGGGATAAAGACCAGACTTTTTCTTACACTTTTACTTGGGTTCTGAAAGTGCTTTTCACACAGTTGTACATATATTTTACAATGTGATTAAGAGAGGCTAAGGTAGATTATTTCATGTACATTTTTTTAACCTCAAAATTATTATCCAATTAAGGATGAGGAATTGTTTTATAATAATAAAAATCCATGGACACAATTTGTCTGCTTAAGCCTTTTAAAATATGTCTTTGCTTGTGCAGGCACCCTTCCTTCAGACATGGCTGAACTGAGACTAGATACACACACATAGCTGTCTCAGCCAGAGCCGACTGTACTTTCAAGAAAAAAAGAGTTAGGTCCAAATCTTAAGTATGGAAATAGTAGAACAACAAAAAGGAGAAATACTAACTACAGTTTACTACAGTTTCTAATAATTTTCCATTTTAAGTGAAGACTGTCTTACTCTGCTTTAACTTATATTCTCTACTTGTGTTCTGATAATGTGTCTGGTTTTATTTTTCCCCAAGAAATTGAGGATTCTAGCATCTTCCACTTATGTCTCTAAATTTTTCATCCCCTGCCCCCACTGGAGCCTCTCTGTCTCTAAATAAATGAAACATTGTCAGTGTTTCAAGTTATGTGTAACCAGGATATCTATCTGTATCTGTAAAACTACAAGTGAGTTCATCATAAAATTACAGATCTATTAAAGAATATTAAAGTAGAGCATATGTTTACTTTTCTCCCCTTACATTTTTTTCCTTGTTAGATGGCTTTAGAAATTTTACTCCCATCAAGTTTGGACAGAAAACTTTGCTCTGTGCCTAGATCATAGGTAGTACTTTGAACTTGGGCTGAGTGCCTTAAATGTAACAGCAAGGATTGAACTACTGAATGTATATCCTACCACTTCTAATAGTTTATTACTCTTGTACTATACAAATTAATTAAGTTTTTGTGGTTCTCTTTTTTTTTAACTAGGTAATTTCATCTGTGCCAAAGCCTCCAGAGGACAAGCAGGGAGATATGCATACAACTCATCCATTAAAACAAAGAAGAAGAATATAAATTGCCTGCAGTAAATCAGTATTTTCTAAAGAACTATTTATTTTTTATCTTCAGCCTGTCATTTTAATTCTTGAAGAGATTTTACTGCTGGTATTTTTTTACTGCACCCTTTGTAATTTCATTCAAGCTACTTTTCTAATATAGTTTCACCTTTTAAAATTAGTTTATCATGGGCAAAGTACATGCCAGCCAATTACGTCCCTTCCAGAAGCTCCACCCAGTGACTTAGGTTACATCATATTGGCTAGAACTGAGCCCGTGCATGTACCTTCCTGAGGGGGCTGGAATGTCAGACGTTCAGGTTTCCAACCTCTGTGGTCGAGGAAGCAAGAGAAAAGAGGGTTGTGAATGGCTGATTCACAATATTTGCCCCAAGATGGCAAGGTTGCTGGCTAACCTAATGAATAAATAAATAAATAAATAAGTTAGTTTATTATTAGCTAGTATAGATGTTATCTTGACCCATACTTAATATACAGGAACCATTCTTACAACATTACTTACCACATTGCAGTCACTGTATGTAAATTAATTGAAGCAAATATAGAAACTTTACAATACAAATAAAGATAGGCAACCAGATCTGTTTCTGATTTTAATAATTTTGAGTTACTCATATTCAAAAACTAGAAGTCAGGATGTGTTAGAATGCCAGGGCTTCAAAATCAAGACAATTCTGTAAAGCAAAAAAGTTAATAAACTATTAGAATAAGTCTGAAATTAGAAGCTTACATGCTTTTTAGTTAACTTTAAAGAATAATTTACTTCATCTATGGCAGAAACAAATCAGTATTTATGTAATGCTAGACTTTTACCATTACTTTTAGCATACCCACATTTTTTCCCTGTCAGCGGACCACATAATTGGAAACTCAAGTATAAGTATGTCCAGGCTGTTTTTTTTTTTTTTTTTAACTGATAACACAATAACTTGAGAAGGCCCATACCAAGGGGTGTCTTTTTTTTTTTTTTCTTTTCAATCTCTGTATCCTTGAGGGCCTTTTGCCTAATGAGTGAATTTGAATATACCAATTAAGAAGGTTCACTTTAGTTATGACTTGCTGATGCAACCTTGCCGGGATGGCACTGAGTGGTAGATGATACTAAGAAGTGTAGGCAAGGGGTTTGGCTCTACTTCCTGGTGAGGTAGTTAGTATATAGTTGACCCTTGACCAATGGGGGAGACATGGTTGCCGACCCACCATGCAGTCAAAAATCCACACAAAACTTTACAGTCTGCTCTCTGTGTCCATTGTTCAGTATCCTCAGATTCAGCCAACCATGGATCTTGTAGTATGTATTGAAAAAAATCTGATATAAATGGACCGTTGCAGCAGTTTGATCCCATGTTCAAGGGTCAACTACACCTTTTTGCTGCACGCTCAGTTAAAAGATACATTAGAGAACTCCCATTGAATTGGAAAGAGCAAGTTGCTATCTAGATCAGGCTTCTCAGACTATGGTGCTTTGACTCTTCACCTTGGGGTCCTATTAAATGCAGATTCTAATTGTGGTAGCCAGGGGCTGGTGGGTGGCAGGAATGGGGAATTGTTTAATGGGTATAGAGTTTCTGTTTTGCAAGGTGAGGAGTTCTGGAGACTGGTTGCACAGTAGCATGAATGTACTTAACACTCCTCAACTGTACACTTAAAATTAGTTAAGGTAAATTTTATAATAGGTGTATTTTACCACAATTAAAAAATTTCTTTTACAGCCCTAAAGGGAGGAGCTGCCAAGTGGGTTCTGTGTTCTTGAGTGGATTTCTGATCTGTTCTGTGACTGTGTGAAGGCCAGCACTTCTCCCCATCCTTGCCATCATATACAAGATCTGACTGTGATGAAAGAAGAAAATAAACCTTCCTTGTGTCAGTTACACACACAAAGACTGATTCAGTTGGTGTGAGCTGAGATCTGAAAGTCTGCATTTCTCACAAGTCCCTAGGTGATACCATTGCTGCTGGTGCACACACTACACTTTGAATAGCAAGGCTCTAGGTAACCAGTTACAGATGAACTCTTGGGGAGCAGCTGAAGAACCACTGGTGTTCCATCTGAACCCAAGTGGTTACTCCAGTCCAGTCCACTATTCAGTACTGTTTCACTTATCAGTCTTTCAAAACAAGAATCTGCCTTTAACACATTGGTTTTTATCACACATTTCCAGACAATTAAAATGTGGGAATAAACTACAGTGGGACAAGTTTGAGAGCCAAGCTGAGATGGCTAAGGATAACTTAACATTATGCAAATTCACCCACAAATTCACCATCTAAGTTACTGCAGAGAATAAAAAGTTTCTTCCTATATCACATGTTTGCAAAGCACAGTTGGTCAAAAAAAGAATTAAGATAGGAAATGATAATGAGTCAAATCAGTTGTCAGGCTGGCTCTCCTGACTCAGAAAAATTTATATTCATATGTGAAAGATGTTCACAAGGACAAATAAAGTACTATAGAGTACTATACATGTGTCCAAAATTTTAAAAATTTATTCTTGTTTGACAATATCTGGGTTGAAAGAGATCAAGTTCTCCTAGCAGTTTATGGTGGGTATTTGCTGAATCCACTCTATTTCCTGTTCTATCCCTTAAGCAAGCCAATATACCTTGGTTTTCTTTGAGAAAATGTCATTACACACAGGAAATTAGGAACTGTGTATGGCTGAAATGGTTATAAGCTCAAAAAAAGTGATGAATATAATTACTTAAATAGTATTTTCTTGGGTCCCAAATGCTAGGATGGGGCTGAGAAGTTCATGGTTGCCTGCACTTCAGTAGTGGGTTGAAGCCCTATAGAAGTGAGTATGTAGCAAGTATTTCTTTTCTGATCCTTTAAAATTTTCCCTCAACCAATTTAGGCTGCTGGCACTGTACCTTTGCTTCTGGGAAACATGGTCCAAACACTTCCAACAAAAGTCTGTCTTCTTTCACTGCTTTTTCAAAGTCTGAAAAAGATATCTTGCCATCGTTGTCATAATCCTATAGAGGAAGATGATTTCTTGATAAATGATAGAGTAGTTTTAAATTCTGCATAAAAATCAACCATCTAGAGTAAAAGTTTACCAATTCAAACTAAGTTCACACTTCTGTAGGCACTACTTATATGACTCAAAAGGTACTTATGGAGATCACTTACTTTATGCCTATTAGTCTAGTAGGCATACTTGGTATTATGGACTGAATATCTGTCTTTCCACCTCCAAAATTCATATGTGAAATCTAACATCTGCAATGTGGTGATAATTGGAGGTGGGGGCCTTTGGAGGTAAATTAGGTTTAGATGAGGTCATGCAAGTAGGGCCCCATGATGTTATTCGTGTTCTTGTGAGTAGAGAGAGACCAGAGAGCCCTCTCTCTGCTAAGTGAGGAGGTCAGCAAGGCAGGAAGAGAGCCCTCAGCCAGGAACTGAATCAGCTGGCATCTTGAACTTGGACTTCTCAGTCTCCCGAATTGTGAGAAATAAATTCCTGTTGTTTAAGCCACCTTAACAATGGTATTTAGTTATAGCAGCCCAAGCAGGACACATTTTGTTATACAGCCCTATCGCTAAAGGACCTATACTCTGGGGAAATAAGAAAATTAGAGGAAGCTCATTATACCATTACTTTCATGATAAAACAAGCACTATAGGGAAAATATTCTTAAGCTTAAGTTTTAGCTTTGTTCCTCAAAGCATCTCTTACTTGGGATAAGTAAGGATGTAATGTAAAAAGGATAAAAGTGAAGTTGCTTAGCTAATGAGCAAGGCACTGGAGTTAGAATAGTAACAGTTCCAGATGGACTCAAATCATGAGAAGCTTGCAGACAACAGCTAGGTCTTTAAGGATGGTTGGGATCTAGATAAGCTAGAAATGTCAGTAGGAAATGCAGAAGATGGCCCAACATGAGTTATGCCAGGAAGCAGGAGTGTAAATCAAGAAGAAGACAGACTTGCCTAGAATAGAGTATTCATGACAGGGACTATGATCAATTAAATCATGGGGGGAGCATGTGTGTAAATTACAAATACCTTTAATACTCGATTCAATTTGGATTTGTTTTGATGGGTGCTTGTTTTTTCACTTCTGGGCATAACCAAATCACAGTTGCTGAGAGCTTAAAGAAAGGTTTGAATAATTATCTGAAAAAGATTTTCC